TTATCACCCAAAGCCTTATTGGTAAACTGTCAAACACCTGCAATTCAGCACTACAAAAATTCAGATCTCCAAAATATCACAATTTAGTTTTTTGCTTTCACAGTCCATAAGAAAATGAGTGCTTTGATGGAGACGGTCAAGGCTGATGTGAGGCCGATTTTGTTTCTGTTCCCTCAGGCTGAAGAGTCATTTAACCTCACAGGCGCTTCAGGATGCCTTAAGTCCTGAGGAGTACACAAAGCTGAGGGCTGAGTATAAGCAGATTCAGATTCAGGCCAAGAAAGAAGGCTCCAATCCTACAGCTGATGAGGAAGAAGAGAGACCACCTGGAGAGGATGAGCCTGCTGACAGTGGCAAAGACTCGGTAATGAACTTGCAATTTACTGCTAAAAGATGCTTTTTTACACTTCTTGAGATTTGTGCTTACACATGCTTTCGAATCTGGAATGTGATTGGAGGTTGCATTATTGTTTTTGATTATGTTAATAACCAGTTTGGAACGTCATGCATAATTAGTTGGCTGTTTTTTGTCCATGTAGGAAGAGGCAGTGCAAAAGATGCAGGAGCTGTTGTTGGCGAGCAGAGAACAAGTGTACCTGCAGAACGAGGGTGAGGTCAGGAAGAGATGGAACTACGAAGAGGGGGTAAGATTTTACATAGAATTATAATGTCAGTAGAGGTGGCATATCAGTATTAGTATTGGGGCTGATATCAGCAGAAATTGCTGAATCAGAAATTTGTGTGATGTGTTGATGTTGGCTGTGTATTTCTTCCTGTGGGGTAGTAGAGTATTTCAGTAGTTTGAGAATGATAGCTTACCCTTAGATGCTCATCTTAAGTGCAGTGCTTCAATTAGACCTACCTCATTTTAAAGCTTAGTAGTTTAATAAAAAGTGTCGAGTAGGTTTTACTATCTGTATTGGTATCGGAAAAGAAAGAGTGACATTGTGCCATCTCTAAAGGACAGTATAGTGACCTTATAGTGAGGTTTTAACCTTCTCCTTTGTCCCCATCTCAGATTAAACGGCCATATTTCCATGTGAAGCCCTTGGACCGGGCTCAGCTGAAAGCCTGGCACAGTTATCTGGACTGGGAGATGGCTGAAGCTCAGGCAGTGCAAGAGGTTACTGAAGGGACCTCTGAGGAAGCTCCAGAGGGTTCAAAAGTCAGCGAGAGTGTTGCTGGGCATAAGAGGGTACTGATCCTGTTTGAGCGCTGCCTCATTGCCTGTGCACTCTATGAGGAGCTCTGGGATAAGGTGGGGAAGGAGAGATTTAGAAATTCTTGCAAAGTGGAGAGCTGATTATTACCTAGTGGTTGCATTATCACCAGTTGTGTGTGCATGTGTGTGTTGCAGTATGTGCGTTACCTTGAGCCACGCAGCCTGGAGGAAACACGTAGTGTGTATCGACGAGCTTGTGAAATTCACCTGCCATACAAGCACAGTTTCCACTTGCAATGGTCAACTTTTGAGGAGAGACATGGTGAGTGATAAGGGGTTTTTGAAGTCAAGTGTTTGATTCAGTATGTCGTATACAAACTCTGTTAAAGTTTCCAAACATATCATTCACGCTTCAATCCATATAGTCCATATATGGAAATTAAGTGGCAAAAATGGACAGTTTTGAATTCAGTGTGATGTCATAAAAATCCATACATTTCTATATATCCACTTATTCAGTGTATTCACACTGAACTGACAATGAGTGTTTCAGACTGCTTTTTGAATGAGACACAACCCTCGGGCAGGCTATCAGTACAAATATTTACAAATATTGACAAGAAAATCTGACAAAGTATTAATAATTTTCTTCCTTCTTTGCTTTGCCACTTCTTCTCCTATAGGTAATATCTTGGAAGCACAGCGAATTTTAGAATCTCTAGAGCAGTCTATGCCTGGGCTGGCAGTGGTACGCCTACGGCGGTCAGGGCTAGAGCGGCGATTGGGCCGTCTGGATAAGGCAGAATCTCTGCTGAGGGAGGCTGTAGAGCAGAATAAAGATAAACCACACCTTCATGCCTTCTTCTCCATTAAACTGGCCCGCTTCCTCCTCAAACTTGGCAAAAATCCATCCAAGGCCCGTGCTGTATTGCAGGAAGCCATCGAGCTTAGTCCGGTAAAATCTCTCTCTTACATATACACACACACATACACACACACACACGTTTGACAGTTTTACTTGTTGACTCAGGTTAAGTCAACAAGTAAAACTGTCACTGAAGGCCTGCTTTCCATTTGATCTGGTTGGTCAGCACAGAAAAAACACTTGTGAAGTAGGCTTCTTAACTGCTTCAAGTTTTTTCAACTCTGTGGCCTAGTGTGCTCCACACAAAGGACAGCTTTGCAGGTACATAAAACAAGGCACTCAGCTTATGCTAATTCTAGCGGTTCAGGTTGGTGTACACTGAGCTTTCAAGTCAGTTCTATTTTGTTTCCAGACTAATATTTCCAACAGAATTCACTATGCTGTACTTCTCAATATTATGTGCATGTCTAGGATAACAGTAAGCTCTACCTGAATCTGCTGGAGCTGGAGGTATCGGGGGACTTGCGGGTCAATGGAGGAGGAGTCCAGCAGTGTGTAAGCAAAGCTTTAGCTGCACCTCTCTCACCAAAGACCAAAATCCTCTTCTCTCAACGAGGCCTGCAGTTTGCTGAGGACTTTGGGACTACAGTGCAAAGGTAAGTCAGTAAAAAATAAAAAGGTTAAATTAATGCAAAGTAGGGAAACTGTTAGTGTGGGAAAAGTTATATAATGTGTACTTATTCATGTCAATTGAATTTTCTCAATGTCATCAATACACCTGTGGTGAGCTTGCTGCCATAAGGTTAAGTATTTTGTGTGATTACACAAACACAGATTATGTTTAGTCCTGGTCTAAAGTAAATATTTTCATTGCAGGATCACTGAAAGCTGTAATTTGGCTTATGACTGGTTTGTGTTTCTAGTGTGTTGAGTGTCTATGAAGAACACCAGAAGCTGCTGGATGAGCTTGGTGGGAAGAAGCGAGGAGCAGAGAATGGGTAGGAGAAACAGCACACACTGCCTACACTGTGAGATAATGTTTGCCAGTTCAGTCAAAAATTACTCTGGTAATGTGATAACATGCAGATGAGTTTCTGGCCTGTTCTACTTCTTGCAGTGTTACTACTTCTTGCAAGTTAATTACACAAGAAACGTGTTCAATTTGCACTTTATTTTTAGCTCAGTCTTTTTTTTTGTTTTAGTGATAATGATGACCCAGAGAAAATGAGTAAAATGGATGATGGCTCTGCTGTTACGGCTCCTGTTCAAGGTGTCCCACCTACTATGCCCCCTGTTCCTATGACAACACCACCTCCCCCCATGATGGGTGGAGACATGAGTGGGTATGGAAGCTATAGCAACTGGTATCAGGTATGCACGATTTAATGTTCCTTCATGTTATCCATTTCACATGTAGGATTACTGTATGTCCTAGGTTGTTTAATTCTCAACATTATGATTATGTATAATATTTTAATGCAGTGAAATAATTCCCTTCCAGTCTAGAGCTATAGGTAAACTTCCTTCATTCTTTTTTGTTTTTTTTTCAGCAGCAGCAGTATGGGGGATATGGTGGTTACCACAACCCATGGAACCAGTACAATCAATATTACCCTTCCAGCTAGAGCTGAGGAGCATGAGCCAGCAGACAGCAACAAAGGCCTCTGGCACTGCTCCACAATTTACAGTCATTGAATGTACATGGCCCTCAAATGGCAGGATCTCAGTCTGAGCAAGTATGGGATAGTCAGAAGTAGATGACTGAGCGTACAGTGGTGCACATAATGTGCATGGTGCACTTGCTTGTCCACTTACTTCAGTGCTTTAAAGAATGATTTTGTCTCTTTATGAACTGCGGGTCACACATTAATGACTGCCATGGGAGATATTCAGGTTTTTAGATATTATCTCTGTGTAATATATGTATAACCTTTATATTCTGAACATTTTTAAACTCTTTGCGCCTTATATTTAAACCACTGCACATTTGTGAGTTCCTAGCCATTCCAAAAGTAAACCTGCTTTTATTAAAGATGTACATAATGGTGCTTTATAATTTGGCAGCATCCCACAGATGCAGCAAATGTGCAAGAACAAAGTTTGCACATTACACTGTACTTATTTTAAGGTACTATTTTCGTTGTGCACTGGAAAAATCACTGTTTTCATGGGTAGGGAGGGAAATTTCCAACCATGCCTTTTTTGAACATGGCTATTGTCTTCAGTTTACTGATTCTGCATCCATTCCTATACCACATAGCTATTTTCCTTTTTTCCATCACTGTTGTAACCACAAAGGACACTTTGGATGCCTGAGGTGTCATGCAGAGAATGGCCGACTAAAGGTAGGGGCACTGGTTTTGTGCAGGATGTGATGGGTTAAGGTTATGCCTGGATAAGCCGACACAATCACAAATCAAGTACCCAATGAATATTACATATTTCATTGAGCTGATTCACCAATCTTAAAATCATTGTTGGTCACAGGTTATGAATAAGGTCTGTTGCAATTAGGCTTTCCATTGTAAACCGCTGGGGACCCATTTCTTGGACATGCGATAGACTTGGCCTAAATTGGAATTCTGACTAATCGATTTTGAAAGTCTCACCCTTTCACTGTAGTGTCTCTACTTTCTACTTGACATACCATGTGTTTACAAACATCCCAACTTGCAACAGGTTCATCCATGACCCACTGCCTGTTTTATAATCACATGGCAAATATTTTTACTTGAACTATTGATATTCTGCCTTGCATTTTCTGAATAAAGATGTGTCTTTTTTAATATGCAGTCTTCAGAGCATTATAGATTGCTTATATGAAACTGTTTATTTGGTGTTTGTACCAGATGTTGTTTGGTGCTTTTTATTTACCAGTAATGGCCAATGGCCAAATACATTTATTCCAAACATATCAAAAAGAAATAAAAGTATGCAGCAGTGCAGTAATGAAGATAATGAGAAATATGGTGATCTCTTTCAGTTTCATGTATTCAGTTCACTTTTTTTGTTGTCGTCAAGGTTATTTGTTTTATTGTAATGGTACCCATCAACTCAGTATTGATCGACGTGGGTCAAATTACATAGTGTAGAAAATCAAATCAGTCCAGTGAATAATCCATTTTATGGCCTGTTGGTGGAAGAACATGGATAAACTTGTCCTTCTTCACTTCTTTGTAACCACAAGGACAGCAGAAGGCACCAAACCTGAAGGAAAGGGGGAAAACTGAGCATACTGAGCACTGTAATAAAACTCTTCCAAATGTCAGAGGATGGACTGCATGGAGTTTGTATGGGCTAGTTAGTATTACATGATACTGGACAAGATCCATGATTTTAATCCAGTACAAATCTGTTAACGGATGTTTTATGAGTAATAATTCACAGTGAATGGTCTTTAGTAACTGATTGAACCCAGACATTCCTCAGTAAAAGTAATCCTGTTTGTCTGAATTAACATCATTGTAATGTAATATCAAAACCTGGTAATAGACATGGCTGTGTACAGTACTGTTATTGTTATTGATTGTAGCACCAGTCATGTAACGCTGGCATTTACACATGGGTAAAACTGCATGTACTTTAGCCCACATAATGCTTTAGTCTTGATTGCAGTAGTCTATAATAGTAGTCTATAGTAGGTCTATAATGTGCATGAGCTCTATATATATGGGGGGGAGCAATCTCTAAGTGAAAAACAGCCTGATCTTGTCTCAGTGTATTCACTAGAATGTACACCAATTGTATTAATATTGTTGCCTGGAAATCACAGCTATGTGTGATCAGACCAACATGTTCACTAACATAAGTGTACCAACAAGGTTAAAATGTTGCAACCTTAATCATTCTTACCAAGCTCGCTTAGAGGTTTTTCCATGTCGAGGTCCGTGTAGACGCGGCGGGGGTAAGGAGAGAGAAGGGTGAAGTCCTGACTGTCTGCGCTATTCATCTGCACGTACACCCTCACTGCTGCCAGAGGTTCCTGGGCTTTAAAAACCGCCGTCAACGCAGAGCCATCCAGGAGACGCACCTAACAGAAGAGCGGTAAGATGCTACAAACGTTGTTTTCGTAACCTCTAGCCTGGTTGCCAGATTACACAATTTAATTAGTTAAGGAAACTAACAGTGGCCTATATGAACAAGGCTTTAATTCTATTTATTATAGTGTAACTAATTGCTCTCAATCACAGAATTACACTAGTAATACAAAGAAATGAGAGATGTACAAATATCGTTTTATTTGAGAAAAAAAAGCAGAACTGCACACCCATAACGCACCTTGACAATGTGTAAAAGTGGAACCAGTCTGATTTCCACCCCAAGCTAAATCAATTTGAGATTTGTGTAGCTGTGTTACTGCTGAACACATGGGTTTTCAAGACCACATTTCTTGATATCTATTTACATGGCACTGTAGTGTTTTACAAATTCAAAATGCTGACAGACAGGAGGTTTCCAAGAATGAAATGACATAATTCTGGATAGAAAATGCTTCTCATTAAAATTTGGGAGCAATACCTGTATCCGACATTCATCATAATCTTTCTTGGCTGGGGGAGGGCCCTGGTTCTCAGGTGGAGATTGGGGAGTGGTGTCAGAAGTAGGGGATGACAGGGACGAACCAGAAGAGCCCCCTCCAAACTGGGATAAGAGACATGTAATAGAGTTTACTGGTTTAAATAACATCCGGGAATCAGGTTGCATGTCGTATATTTAAACGTTTAAAGGATATTAAATACTAAATACCAACCAGAAACTGTAGTACCACTGACACCTAAGAAAATGTGATGAACACTATGAAATACCTCCTGCATTTTAGGAGAGGCATTATTACTTAAACGCCTCTGCTTCCAATAGTGAAACAGCAATTCCTCATTAAGATCTACTTGAAAAAGTATTTTTTATATATAAATAATCTCTATAAGCAAGTACCTTACGTGCCCTCTCTTCTCTGTCACGTGCAATCTTCTCTTTGACCCGCTGCCTAAAAAACAACACAAAGTATAATAGAACAGCTAACAGTAGTTGCTAGTTTGTCATACAGTGCTTGTAATACTTGGCCATTCTGTCCTCCATTTTCTCTCTCCTACGGTCATCAGCCAGCTTCTTCATTTCATCATCCTGCAGCTTTTGTCGGACCTTTTGAAGCTCCTGGCCTTGCTTCCTTCTCTGCTTTTCCCTGTCCACCTCCTCCTGCCGTTCCCTCTCTCTCCTCTCCTCCTGTTTCACCCTCATCAATTCCTCAAGCCTGAAAAGGGAAAACCTCTTTTTAATGGTCCACACATTATTTTCAAAATCAGCCCTCATCTGTGTAGCTTTCACACAAACCTCTTAATTTGTTCTTTCCTTTCCTCTTCCGTCATTGGTCGTTTGGAATCTCCCTCTTCTATCTCATCACCAACAACTGGTTTTCATGGAAGGATAATTTTTGTAAATAATGTATAATGACAACATGATATTAGCAATATTTCATGCAAAAACAATTTAATGTACATCTCCATTTTGGATGTATACATGGAGAAGATGAACTAATTGACAACAGCCAGTGAAATGCTCTAGAATGAGGAGAGGGGGAAAGTTCATACATTCAGTGAGGTCCGTATCAGGCTGGGATGGACTCTGTTGCTCTGATGCGCCTAGAACGTTCCCTGCTGGTGGAACATACGGCTCGTCTATGTCTGGATCGTTCTCGTGTTCCATTAGCCTGTGGATGACAATGGCAAGAACTAAAACAAAACCTGCCTGCCACGTTTTGGCACTGCAACAGCAGTCAAACAAGTGGACTTACCAATCCATAGCTCTCTCAATGCCTTGGTTGCCAGTATGTGCTACAGCCTTCTCCCTTTGGGAACAAACAAATCAATGGAGCACTAGGGCACAATCATGGAACAGAAAATCACATCTGCTGAATCACAGGAACCTCACTTACGCTCTGTTTCTGTCGAAACCCATCTCCAGTAGACTTTCTAACGTCGTACACTCCGCCATGGTGCTGAAAATAAGCAACACAAATAACACACATACAGTGACAGAGTTTGTTCGGAAACAGTGACTCAACTTTGGCAGCTATTCTGCAGCTATTCTGCCAAATACGTTCATTATTGGTGTCTCAACTGTTCCATCTTAGCTGTTTAACCTTTAGTCTGTTAAACGTAGCCACACAGTGATTTTATCTGACATTTAAAAGAGCTCTTGCAGTCCCAAGCTAGCAGAAATTGTCCTTTTAGCCGGCTACCCACAACTGCACAACAGCTAGACGCCCAAAAACAAAAGGCTTGCAGATATGTCACATTATTCCTCTTTCTTTGAGTCTGTCAGCAAACACTGTCACACAGCCCTCGACAACAAAATGTAAATGAAGCAGTATAGCAGCAGCCCGCTAGCTGTAAGGTAGATACTAGCTACGTTCTGCGGTGTCAACAGACGTTAACATTAGCTAACGTTAGCAGAGAAATGCCTCTAAAACAGTTACATATTACATTTAAATGAATGAGTTGAACATATGAATGCTAGGCTAAAGTATGCAGGCACGATAAAATGTGTACTGTGTGTAAAATAATCTTCGTACTGAGTTTAATGATGTATTATAAATGATGAGTTAGCATAATATTCACTTACAAAGCGAGTCTGCACTGTCGCCTCTCCACGCTCCACTACGGCAAGTACAGCAGGTCAATACGCGGAGCGCGAAAAGAGTAAACAAAGTGAACGACGCTCTGAAAAGAAACTGCGGTTTTTACGACCTGCAGCTGAGCCACATTGTTGCTTGCTTGCTAGTAAATTTAAAAATATTTTTTATAGAATTAATTACATTTTCGTTCCTCTAAATGTATTTAGATATAAAGCTAGATGTTCTCTGTCTGCCAAACTCTCTCTGCAGGGGAGGCCTAAACACACTGCGCATTATGTATACAAATGTAATAGGCATCCGTAGTAGTATGGAGCATGCGTTTGGCCTATAACATGTAGAAGGCATCCACAGAATGTAACATGTAATAAGAATCTGTAGTATGTAGTAGGCATTAAAATTAAATAAAAAATTAAATGAAATTAAATATCAAAGAGATTTGGAATAGCATGCCTCACTTCTAATTATATAGTTTCAGTGGCATAACCTTCAACAAATATCAAATTGGGAAAGTCATAGGAAGTCAGCTTTGCTCTGATGGGGAGAGTGAGGTAAGATGAGCATATTTTTAACTTAACTTGTCTTCTAAAACTACTACTTATATAAATATTCTTACAGAGCCCCTAAGGTGACATGGTGAATACTTTTCAATAAGGTGTGGTTATGAATTAATATATTGAGGCCATGTGGTCACAAGAAACATAACTCGTGGCCTCAATATATTTGTGGCCATGCCATATTAAAAAATAATCACCATGTCACTTTAGGGGCTCTGTAGTATGCCAAAGAGCTGCGAAAAAAAAAAAAAAAGAAGTGGCCTTATTACTAAACGTGCCCCAGATTAGGGCTAAATTGATCCTTGTTGCTGGATAAACTGAGCTACTGACTTTTTAAAGTAAAAGCCTGAACATAATGAAACATAATTTGATCCTATATTTAATATACTTAAACAATGTATTTACCTCCTGTTATTTTTCCATTAAATATTTTAATACTTGCAAGTAATGACAATGTTTTTCCCCCATTTCAGTTTAAGATGAAGAATGACAATTAAATTAAATATGAAAAACTATTTGCAATGGTGTAAAACCTCAAATCTAATCATATAATTCTGCTCATTTTCAGTGGCATGACATAAAACAAAACATTGAAACAAATATTTTAAAACTAATTCAAATCAAGTCAAGTCAAAATTTACTTAGATAGTGCACAAAGCTGCTTTGCAGCAATTCTGGGTCCAAGCCTCAAAGACTCCCAAAGACCAAGAGGCAGAAACCTTGAGAGGTACCAAGACTCAAAAAGGGAACTCACCCTCCTCTGGTTGACACCGGATAGCAAAACAATAACACAACAAGATCAATATGAATAAAGAATAATATTTTATAAATAATGTACAATACTGAATATTGACAAATGAAAAAAGAAATCAGCCGGCCTGAAGAGAAATATTTAGATTAATGTTAGTCATGCGCTGTTGCATCAAAATACTATTTTATAAACCAGAGATGTGGCCTAAGTTTAGGTGGAGTGAGTTACTCCAAATCATTGGGCTCTTGTTTACCTCATAGCCACAATTGTGGAAAAAAAGAGCCAAACATAACTGTTCAGGCCTAATCTTTCGCTTAATTTCGAATATATATGTTGGCGTGTTACCAAAATGTGTAATGTACCCCTTTAAACCTTTATGCATTTGCTGTGATGTAACAGTAACGAGGCAAAAATCCTATTCAAACTAATATGAAATTGTAGGGCTGTTCAGTTTTTGTAAACATTTTAAATTAACCATATATAACTGCTATAGTATTGGTCTAGATTCACTATATAACTCTGTGTTTCCTGTTTAAAATGCTGCGGAACAGAAATGGATGATGTTGTCATACCTAATGGAAAGTAGGAAGCTTGTAAATGATAAGAACAAAAGTATCTGACTCCATGCTAACGTTAGCTCGATTACAGAACTAAATAATGTGTTCCTAACAGTGTGACCTTTCACAAGCGTACAGTGTATTGTGCTGTGAAAATTTCTTTTATTTTTGCATATTTGTCACACTTGAATGTTTCAGATCATCAAACTACCTTTAATATTAGACAAAGAGAACCCAAGTAAACCCAAAATGTTTTTTAAGTGATGATTTCATTTATTGAAGGAAAAATGCTATACCTGGCCCTGTGTGAAAAAGTAATTATGCCGTTAGGTACTAAATCAACCAGTTAACCAAATTCAATTGACTATTGGGTTCAATTTCACTAGCCACACCTGCTGAATCTAAACATCACTTAAATAGAAACTGTCTGGCAGTGTGAAGCAGGCTAGACAATCTCAAAAAGCAGCACATGATGCCACATTCCAAAGAGATTCAAATACAGATGTGAAACAAAGTCACTGAAATCTACCAGTCTGGAAAGGGGAGTCCTATTGCTAAGGCTCTGGGATTCCAGTGAACCGTGGCCAGCCTACTAGAATTTCACCAGGAGTGCATTGATGACTCATCCAGGAGTTCACAAAAGAACCCAAATTAGCAACTAAAGAACTGCAGGCCTTACTTGCCCCAGTTAAGGTCAATGTACAAGATTCCACAATAAGAAAGACATTGGGCAAAAAAAGCATCCATGGGAGAGCTGCTAGGTGCAAAGCACTGCTGAACAAAAGGAACACAAAGGCTCATCTCATGTTGAAGACATTTCGTTACCTCTGGCGAAAAGTTAACAATGCATTCCACCATGAGAACATCATACTAACAGTCAAACATGGTGGTGGTAGTGTAATGGTCTGGGGCTGCTTTACATCTGCAGGAATTGGATGACTTGTTGTAATTGATGGAACTATGAATTCTGCTCTCTATCACAAAATCCTGAAGGACAATGTCTGCCTGTCAGTTCGTGACCTAAAGCTCAAGCGCAGTTGGGTTTTGCAGCAGGACAATGATCCAAAGCACACAAGCAAGTCCACCTTTGAATGGCTCAAAAGAAACAAAATTAAGGTTTTGGAGTGGACGAGTCAAAGTCCTGACTTCAGTCCCATTGAGAGGCTGTGACAAGACCTTAAACGGGCAGTTCAGGCTTCAAAACCCTTCAATGTAGGCAAATTAAACCAATTCTGCAAAGAAGAGTGGGCCAGAATTCCTCCACAGTGATGTGAAAGACTCATTGCAAGTTATCACAAACATTTGATTGCAGTTGTTACTGCCAAGGGTGACACAACCAGTTATTAGGTCTAGGGGAGCACTTACTTTTTCACATGGCTGATATAGATTTTGAATAAATCTTTATCTTCAATAAATCAAATGATCTTTTAAAACCTGCATTTTGTGTTTACTCGTGTCGTTTTGAGAGGCAAATACTTTTTCACAGCACTGTATATATCATTTGAAATTAAATACACACTCTTAACCTTAGCATTCTGACTGAAACTGAAATGTTTCATTAGCCTGAATGGGATTTTCCTCCATAAAGCTTGCCTGACCCAGCAACTATTGCTACAAACAAGCTGTCACTGGAGCTAAGGCATAGTTTGAAGATCCTTATATTTAGATTGTTGCAAAGCTTTCCACACGCGTTTGTGGATGGATCTTGGAGATGTGAATTGTCTTTAAGGGCAGAAGTCACACGGTTTCTTGCTGCGTGTAATGTGTGTGTAACGAGTACACAGGTAGGTGTGTAAATGGGATACACTGTGGGAGGGCATGTTACTTATTGAGCAGCAGCGTAATAATCTACCAGCCACAGTACTCAGCAAACAGACAGTAAGGAACTCAGCAGAGGCCTAGCGCTCATTTTCTGCTCTTCTCTATCTGCCTGTCAGAGGTAATACAAAGGTAATACAACTCCACTTTACTGTTTTCCCTGATCTGTCTGTCTTATCATTTTGTTTAAAGTCACTCTTATTTCTGCTTTTAGTTAAAACATCAGTCAACAACTCTTAAATTGCTTTCTTAATTAAAATTGCCAGCATTGATTGTATCTTAAATTATTTGAAGTGTCTTTTTTGCTCAATAGATAGACAGTTTTATTTAAAATAATCATTTTAATGAGTGTATCTTCATAGAAGTGTGATAGAAGTATCAAAGTTTGCCGTTGTTTTTATTTTTAATTAGAGTTCACATACATCTGGTTACATGAAATGAATTAAGAATCATTTAAGAAGTCGGTTTTTGAACGTATTTCCACAGTATATGTATTACAATATGCTGTGACTGGGGTCAAAGTATGTCAACTTGTAATTGTTTTATTGCTGTTTTCAAGGAAGAGCAGAGGAAAAGGTGGGTAAAGTTCACATTAAATCAAAGTCCTTAACAATCTGAAGTAGGTGTGCTGACTAAACCACACCAAAGATCCAGTAGCAGTGAAGAAGTATAACCGAACAAAAAAACAGAAATGTATGACCTTCTATTTTAAGGGGATTTCCACCTATTTTTCAAAATGTCAGCACAATTCAGCTGTTGAGATGTAAAAAAAAAGTCATCCAAAGTGGTTTGGTGTGAAATACTTTATTGCAAGGAAATGTGAAGATTCTGATTTCTTCACAGTGATGTTGATAGAAACCAGGAATTGCAACATGAACATTGCAAATATAGCCATTTTATGTACTATCCAAAATCACCAGTGGACCTACAAGTGTCTTCTGAGATTTTATTAGTAATGTTAATAACAGTAAATTAGTGCAAAATATGAAAAACAAGTTTTTGGGGAACTATTTTGTCTTAAAACACCTTGCATGTACCTCTTCACCATGAATGGATTTACATAAGTACACTGTAGCCCCAAAGCTTATGTCCAAACTATTGCATTTCTCAGACATAAGGCAGCGCATTCATAACCATCTCATGTAATAACTTTCTGTAAGGGAGCTGTTAGCGTCATTAAATTCTTCAGACGTCTGGTTCCCATCACCACCACTGTGAACAATTCTGACTTGGTAAGTTGCTCTTATATGGACTATTCATCAAATCACTCTGAATGATGTTGTTTATATCTTAAGCATTTTTAAAGGAGAACTTTTGAAAAATATGTAGAATTCTGCTTTAACCAACAAGTTTATGATTCACGCATGTTGAGCATTTATCAGTGAAGACGCTGATTTGAATAGTCAGTCACAGTTAATTACATACTCTCCGTCCTTACACTTAGACTCTTAAAACTTTAATGTAACAGTACGTAACACCTTAATACTCAAATATTTTCATTACACCACGTTCTTCTGAAATCTGTTCCTTCCTCTAACAGTTGATCTTTTGCTTTCCAGACAAGCTAAATTAAAGACGTCCGGAAGAAAAATGTGTTCGTTCAGAACCATTCCTGGTGCTCACTGGGTGTAACAGTTCCTCCATGTGGAAGACCTCTGTGTGCCAGTGGAGAAGCTGTTACCTGCAGAGGGTCACTGAGAGCTGCCACCTGAGCTCACAAAAAGTTTGGATTCTGCTCTTAAGCTCCAAATAATACCAAGTAGGGGTGGGTGATATGGAAATTTGATAAAATGTAAAGGAAAAATGCTATTAAACACTATGAATCCAATGATTTTTATTGAATGTTACACTGCCCTAAATTTAAACTGGACTAATTATGTTCTCTTTTTAATGAAACATGCATTTGGTCAGTGTTCTTTAAATACTGTTGATGTCCACAGTACACTCAGAGAAGCTTGTCATAATGTCATTTATCATAATAATGATAACACATCACCATATGTTTCACCACTAACACCAAGCACGGCAACATATGGTGTTTCTTTGCAGTGTGTATATACATACTCCATAGACTTTACTGAACTCCTTAGACTTTACTGAATTACATTAAAACGTATTATTAAACGAATTATTTTTTAAAGACAGATGAAGAGTGGAGTTATTATTCACATGTAATACCACTGATTGCCATAGGGGTGCAGCATCTCACCAGCAGGGCTGTACACAGAGTTAGAGATCTAGGTTTTACACAATAATAGCAATAAAATTGTTATTATTTTGTTGTTTTTATATTGTTATTTTATGTAAGAAATAGAACTCAAACTTGTTTTCAAACTTTGTATGTTTTGAAAAAGGTGTCAGAAAAACATTTGAAGTTTTCCATGACAGTCCATTCACATCACACACTTCTTTACACACAAACCCAATATAAACCTAAATAAACCAAAATCAGTAAGGCCACTGCAAAAAGTACCTTCAGGCAGAACCATCTAAATGGAATGGCCTGGCTAGACCCAACAATTTTATTGGAGTGGCAAACTGCTAGGGGGAAAAATGTGGGAGGTAACTTTACGAGAGAATAGTATTTAGATACGGAACAAACTGATCTACCATAGCATAAGCAGGAACTTATACTCAGCGCTGGATCCACCTCTGATGAAATCTAGTCTGCAATATTAAATGCATGCGTGTACTCAGCTGTAAAGAGTTTTTAACTTACCTGACAAATGACAGAAATTTTTATACAATAGTAAATGCTAGTAGTTACTCATTTTTGACAAGTACCTCATTGTATAGCCGGCTGTATATAATGTTGCTCCTATAGCAGCACTACTGAAATGTATTGGGCATATCATTCATGTAGTTATAATTCTATAAAGATTAACAAAATAACCGGTTAACTACATTTTAAAACACAATTTCACTCTAGAAAAACTGAAAATGACTTTATACTGTTTTCCATTACACTATGTGACAAACTTCTATTTAAATTGTTTCTACTGTCTATTGAATATCTTCAGTTACACTAATGTTAATCCATATACACATACATTTAACAAAATGTTGTAATACACTGTAGAAATGTATTTACATGCTTTTAAATGTTTTCCTTATGTAGAAAGCCATTGTGATTTGCTTCCTTAAGCAAAACAAAGAAGAGGAACTAAGCTTTTGAGCAGAGTTCATTCGCCTGTGAGAGATGCTGATTACACAAAGTATCAGAACTTTGCTGTGGTAATGCTATGCTGTTGATAGCTGACTGCCTCACTTTGCTTCACTGACTACATTACAACCTAGACAGGGGCGTAGCCAAGGGGTGGCCAGAGGTGGCCAGTGCCACCATGCTGGGAAGCGTGGCCACCCCTCTGGCCACCCCTTCGCTAAGCCCCTGACTAGGCTGTAATGTAGCGAGGTCTCTGTGTCATAAAATGTTTGATCTCATATGGAGCTTGTTTGAAATGCACTGTCGTGGAGAAAGTTGCCGAGGTACAGTTGTTCGCAGTGGTGGTGATGGGAGCAAGACATCTAAAGACTTTAAAGGAGAATTACACCATTTTTCAAAAATTCTGCATAATTCAGTTGTTGAAATTTGAGATTTGATGCAAAGTGACTGTAGGTGGAGGGGGTTTGGGTGGTTGTGGTACCACATCAGCTTATATCTGTATGATTATTAATAAACGATAAGTTGTGACATTGACAGTGAACTGAAAAAGAAAAAAAATGAATGTTCCCCTAAAAAGGGGCAAGAATGTTGGCCCGGGGATTTAAAAGAGTCAAAAAACTGTCATATAACAACAGCTGTGCCAAACATCAGACAGCATATATCTAACCACTTCACGTAACTTTCTGTGAGGGAGCTTTTAGAGACGTAAAACTCTTCAGACGTGAACACTGTGAACAATTCTGACTTGGTAGATTTCCCTAAAATGGAGCGTTTCAGTTCAAACCACGCTGCATCTCAGCATTTTAATTATGTGGAAAAATGCATGAAATGGTCACGAATACGCTGCCTGATGGCTGAGGGCTTCGTGCTGTAGTCAGGTCTTGGCTTTGGGCCTTGTGAGTTTAGGCTCATGTGCGGCTGCTACAGAGTCCCATTCTACTGGCAATGCTTTACTATGGAGATTATGCAAGCTGTGTGCACACAATTGAGCAGCTGTGTCACCAGTGACTACACATTAAAGTAGCTGAATTCACTAATTATAGGGGTGTCTGAACAGTTCTTTGGACTTACAGTTGGCTATACGTTTATCGGAGCATTAACCTCAAAAGAGCCTTCAGAGTGCCAGCTGTACAGGGCAACCGTCGTAAAACTTCCCAAAAGCTTCGCTGACGCCAGAGGTCTGATGTGATTGGTTCACACCAGTGCACGTGACCGAGCCGCGCGTCACGTATTTCCCCCAATGCTAAAAGCTTTTGGCTAACTCTTCCTCTGGGCTTCATTCTGTCTTTGCCGTTCTGTCGCAAGACGCTTTCATTTTCACAGAGGAAACAGTAGGTTTTAAATGCCGCAGTGAGTCTCCGGGCTGGACGCATTTTCACAATCCAGTTTTTCCCCCAGAGAAGCTCACCTAGCTGATCAACTGTGAGTCTTCGCCGTTAGCCCGGGAGCTGTGGGAGCTCTGGGAGGTGTCAGCTCTGCTCAGGGGTGGGACCCGACTCAACTTTACAAGAGCCAGCTCGCGCTGTCCGACGGTGTGAAGGACTCGGGTAGAGATATTTCACCGCGTTGTCTAACATCGCCTTTTCCTTTCCGAAGGTCAGTATAGGATCGTGTCCTATAGATCGCCATGTTCAGCTGGTCTAACAGGAACGGGAAGAAAGACCCGGAGCTCTTCCAGAACGTGTCCGATGGACTCAAGCGCCTCTACCGCAACAAGCTCTTCCCTCTGGAGGACACCTATCGCTTCCACGACTTCCATTCACCGGCGCTGGAAGATGCCGATTTCGACAACAAGCCCATGGTCCTTTTGGTCGGTCAGTATTCGACCGGCAAGACGACCTTCATCCGGCATCTCATGGAGCAGGATTTCCCCGGCATGCGGATAGGCCCCGAGCCCACCACCGACTCCTTCATAGCGGTGATGCACGGAGAGCAAGAGGGCGTGATACCGGGCAATGCTCTGGTGGTGGACCCCAAGAAACCCTTCAGAAAGCTTAACGCCTTTGGCAACGCTTTCCTGAACAGGTAAGGCTCTCCATATTTTGTTAATGATTCAGCGCCACATTTTTGGTTTTAGTATCAAGTAATGATTCAGTATGCATTTCGAAACCATGCCACTCCCAACGTGTGTACTTAGCTTATGATAAATGTCTGTACTGAAAGTTATTTCAAAGGTTCTTCTTCTCTGTGTTAAAGTTTCTCTGGAAACCAGGGCAGACGAGCATAAAACTGGGCCTCAAGTGGAAGTATTGTGTTTTTACTGAAATGAATATAGAGTTGAATAAAACTTAAAGTAGCTCCCACTGAAAAAACTAATAGAACAGTATCAAGGTCCAAAAGCTCTGTAAGTATAGAAGTTATAGAAGTGTAGTGGAGCTTCTATGCGCATCCAGCGCTTATCAGCATGGGGACTGAAAATTGTTAGGCACTTCTAATTTTGGTCTTGAAAAAAGCCGAAGCTCCAGAGTGAGAGGTGTGAGCAACAGCGAAGCAGTTCAAGTGCTGAACCAACAGAATGGAATATGATTAAACCAGAAAAAAATGGAAATGAAATGTAAAATACTGAAGTGGTCATGAGGGCAAAGATTAATTTGCTTGTTAATATACTTCAGAATAAGCACTTCTTAAAATGAGTAAACAAAGGTGAGTAAACAGAACCACCCAGGTCTTGTTATTACCCCATCTGGCCACCACCCTTCTTGCTTTCTGACTTTGCGGCCTATGACAATACTGTAAGTCAGCAAAGCCTCCTGACGAGTTTCTTTCTATACTCTTTTGTGTCGTAAGTAATTCTGGTGTGTAGTACACTCAGTCACTCCGACTGCTGATTCCAGGTGTCAGAAACGGTTGCACAGAGACTCTTTGAGGTCTGTGGTTGTACCGTCTCACATGTAATCGTTCACTTATTCACACTCCCCATCCTAGTCGAGGGCAAGTCATTCTGATTTTGTCCTTATAACAGTTACACAAAGAAGAAGGTCAATAGACAACGCCCATTATTTGGACGCAACGCACTCAGAACTGTGTCATATGCTTGGCAGGTGTGGCCTTTGTATATTGCCGAGTGAAGTAAAAGCGTGTAAGTTCTGAGAGTTCATATGATTGATCTTGCTCTCTTGGAAATAAAGGTTCCTCAATGGTTCTCGACTTGTACATAATTCATGGTTCCAACTTTTAATAGAACCTTGTTCATGATGTTGAGGTTCTTCTCACTCATGCATCTACAATTGCGTAAACGTTCTCCAAAGAAAGATCAATTTAAAGGCTATTTCAGTGAATGAAAAGTGGTTCTCCTATATGATTCCAAAGAACTTTTATTTTCAAGAGTGTACTGCACTGAACAGGCATTTGGGTTGTGAGGTGGCCCATCTATTCAAGAGGATTTAACCTGGGCTGAGATTAGAGCCTCTGCTCTGCCATATGCTGCTTTAGATTAAAATGTTTAAGGCTGACTAGGCAGAATTCACTTTGGATGTCCTAACTGCAGGCTACAGACCTAGAACAATGTAAAACACAAGGTGTTTCCTGTTTTCTTTGTCTTCTTAACAGAAGTTTTGGTATATCAGCATAAACCACATTCATACACAAGCCATCTTAGAATGTCATGGCTATAATGGGAACACTTTCCCCAAGAAGGTTATGTGGCTAATAACCTCTTCCCCTTTATACAGTTTGATATTCAGCTGTTTGTCACGTCCAAAATGACTGAATATGACAAGCCTGATATTTTTGGGGAAATGACCCTGCAAATTATTATAGTGAGCTTTCCGATGTGCTGAAGCTGTATTTTCCCAAGCAGAACAACCTTCCTGCAAGTAGCTAGTTCTTGTTTTGGGTGCTCAACTCTCCCTTCCCCTGACCTTGCCACCAGCAGCCATGCAGAGAGAAGTCAAAGTGAAAGCCCTGCAGAGGTTAAGAGAGGTCAGTGTGCACAAAGGCAAAAATTAGAGTGCTTGGAGAAGTAGGAAAACTGTACTTTGTGAAATGTGAAGATCAGTTTTATCTCCTGTAATTGTTGTTTAGCCCTGCCTGTTCTCTCCTGTCTCTAACTTTGTCCTCTACCAACAAGACTAAACATGAGCTAGCAGGCCATCTTAATGAAGCCTCAAATTCAGTCATGGAAAGGACGCACATATATTTTCTTGCTGTTGTAGCAGAATCTCATATCTCTAAAAAGGGGAACTTTACAAGAGAATGAAAAAACACTCCCAGCTTTTATGTACATAGACATATGATTTATACCATTTTATTAGTCTGTTCATTATGAAATGTTCACACAATGTAAATGGCATTCTTGAATGGTGTAAAGAGATAACTGGAGTTACAAGGTTTTGAAATGACTGCTGCAATTTATTGGAGGTTCACTTATAATGTCACAACTCATTTTTACATGACCATCTTCCAACCCCTCTTGATCCCTTACAGTTAAACAATGTGTTTTTGATACTGTGCCTTTAAGGCTGACATGTAAATGAGCTCTGTTCTGGCTGCCCTCTGTTGTGTCTCATTCAAAAAGCCGGACTGAAATTCTCTTTATAACTTGAGTAATGTGAATGAGTGGAGCGACACTGCTGTAGACTCAATGTTTGTAAACCACTGGGTTTTGTGACATCACAAAATAATGAATTTTAAAATGAGCTGTTTTTTTTTCCCATATACATTCAGTGAAATGTGTACGTTTCAAAAGTTTTTAACAATGTTTACATAATATATCAAACTCTTCTATATACAAAAAAGCAAAGAAAACTGAGTAATTTTCCAAAGAAAACGGAGTAATTGAAAGCTCCAAAACCAAGGCCTGGTTAGTGTATTCTGGCCTGTCATACATATTTACTGCACTTGAAGTACATGGAATTTCTGGATGACGTAAATATTTGTGAGGAATTCTCTGCAGTGATCTCAGCACCGCTGCTCTGCAGGATCACACCATTGCTTTAGGAGTTTCTGCTGTTTCTGCTGAAGAATGTTCTGTGGCTGAGCTGCAGCTCAGGTCTTGTGACCGAGATCATCTTATGCTTTGAGTTTTAGTTCTAAATGAGTAGAGAGACAGAAGCATAACGAGAGAGAGAGAGAGAGAGAGAGAGAGAGGTACTGAGAAAGGAAAGTTTAAACTTAACAATCAGCTTCTTTGTATATCAAGGCCGTGGTCCATCTTGGAGCAATTCTCACTTTTTCCTTCCCCCCACAGCCTTAACCGGCTGTATTTACAGAACACAAGAGGAATATTTTAGTGCAGGAATGTCTCGCCTTAGCCCTGCTGCCACAGTAAACTGATCATTGACCTTGAAAAATAAATCCTATGTGCAGTTTTTAAAACACACCTAGAGAAGGTTGAGGCTTTTCATGACTTCCTTGTTGAATTTCCTGTATGAGTACGCTGACAGGAAATTGTTTACAGTGAACAGATGGTAAGCGTCTCTTAGAGCTGCACACGCTTGCTAAGGAGAATTTCATATTTCGTGTTTTAAAATGTTATCACGAATGGGCATTAGCTTCAGTCATATGAGACTTTACCTCTGTTATTTGAGACAGTTTAGATAGAGTCCTAATCTTGCACTACCTAACCAAACCTGTTTTACATCCTCTCGCTCTCTCTCGCTCTCTCTCGCTCTCTCTCTCTCTCTCTCTCTCTCTCTCTCTCTCTCTCTCTCTCTCTCTCTCTCTCGCTCTCTCTCTCTCTCTCTCTCTCTCTCAGGTTTGTGTGTGCACAGTTGAAAAACCCAGTCTTGGAGAGTATCAGTATCATCGATACTCCAGGCATCCTGTCGGGGGAGAAACAGAGGATCAGCCGAGGTCAGAAACCCTGGGGACTTTTTCCTCACTCTCACACTCTTTGTATCTCTCCCTTCCTCCCCCTTCCCCACCTCCTCCTCATATTTACAACGCCACTCTCTCTAGGCAGATCTATGGCATGCCCCACCTCACTGGAATATTATGCAAATTCAGGCTCGGCAATATGATATGTTACATTGATAAATTAAGTCACAACACGTTTTTCTGAGTACATCATGGGTATTGTCTGTAACACTGAACAGCTGAATGCATCATCAAAAAGACAGATTTAGATCAGTTATAGAGAGCTTGTAAGCAGCCAGTGTATAGTAACTGCTTAGTAATAAGCAGCTAGTTTAAGGGTGGCGCCAAGTGGTAAAATGGTGGTTACTGGTTCTGTGAAAAAAAAAGAAGTGGAACATCAGTGGACCAACAGACAAAAGAAACTGGGCTGCTTGACTGACTGACTAAAACTAACTTTCAGCACCACATATAGCCTGTGGCATGGCTACGTGTCAGAATAAACATGTGACTATTCACTCAGTGCACAGTTCAGTTCATAATACTAGGTTTCACGATTTGGTATTCTCAAGAGAAATTATGACTGTAATCGTGCTGTATAATTCAGTAATAACACCAGAGCTGGGAGGAAAGAGGAGTGCTGGTGTGAGGTATCACAGTATCACAAGACATTGTTATACCACTAAAACCAATTGCATTGGTTCAAACATCACAATTATAGCATTTACCGGATTATTGAGCTGCCCTCCAACTGAAATTGAGATTTTATTGGTTTGACCAGCAGCACATGTCTGTAGGTCAGTGGTCCATGCGTTTAGGTATAATGGATGCTTTTTCCCCCAGATAAATGGCCCGAACTAAATTAAAGACCCTGTTTACACCTGGTCACTTCATGCATCTTGAGCATCAGGATTATATCTGGATAAGACCAAACCACATAAAAATGCAAGTGTGAGCCCACCCAAGACACATTTAAAACAGATACAAATGCAGTCGCTCAAACCAGTTCAGGACGTGTTCTGAGACACATTTGAGCCACGTTATAGCAGTGTAAATGCATCCATCTCTCCAAGATACATTCACAACCATATCCCGTCCCAGTAGCACCGGAACTCCTCCCCACATAGTACGTCACTGGGCACGTGATCCATGTCTGTGAATAAGATAATCATAGAGGACACACATGGTTGGAGATGGAACGAAACAAAATGCTTAATAGCAATACAGACGGACACTGCACAGAACAAAACTGCAGATGACTTAATAAATGGTTGCTGCATAACAAGTGGATTTGTATATTCCATCACACACTGCAGTAGAATTTAAGTTTGACTAACTAGAGACACATTTGACTACCAAGTTTAAATGCATGTGATTGTATCAGGATACAATCCTTATACTAGTCACATGAAGTGTAAACTACACCAGGTGTAAACAGGGTCAAAAGTGGCGGGCCGAGTGTCTGCCTGTCCCTGTTGTTCCAACGGCCATGAGCTGATTGGATGTCAGTCTGTTATTTTATTATACCATTTTCTTATTATGTGACATCCTTATTTTTTATTAATGGATCTTTACCAGTTGTGTACTATGTTGCTGGTGTGTTTTGTCCAATCCAAAAAAAATATTGCGACGTGAAAATCTTTTGTCATATCGGCCACCTTTAATGAAAATTTAGTTCGTCCCTTTTCGTCTCTTCAGTTTGGCCCAGTGCTGCACCATGTGTGATTTATTTGTGCTTTTATAGAAGGTTTATTCAAATTTTTGGCACAGCACTGCAGTATTTTCCCCACTCTGCTATTTGGTCAAATCCAACCTGCACTATCTGCACTAAAACACTGCTCTGCACAGAAAAAAAGAAGAGGAAGTGGGGAAAAATCGGAACAGAACTGGTGATACACTGAACCCTGTAAGGCCGACACATAAAACCAGACTGCTTAACCACATTTGTGATACTTTACTGCAGTTTAGTGTGACAGCCAGAGTTGATGAGAAATGAACGGTTTATTTTAATACAGGAAAGGCGTGCTGAAGTTCATTTCGGTTCCTGCCTATTTTGCTACAATTTGTGCACATGCATGCACACGTGCCTGATATTTCACACGTGATGTCTTATTACTTAGCTGCTGGGTTTGCATGTGTTTGTTGGTTTGTTTGTATGTGGACAGATTGTGTTACATTGGGGCTGTTATGATTAGCTCAAACTTTATTTATTTAGTTATAAAAATAATAAGTAATATATGCCTGATGAACCCACAAAGATTTCAAGATAAATTATCATACTGGTCTCTCTTACAGTAAAGAAAAAAGCCTGAAGGACATACCCATTTTTATTTCATTTGTATTCATTTTTATTTTTTTAAAGGTCTTTTTCAAGGCTGCTTGTCTTTCCCTAACAGTATTTTGGAACCATTGAAAGGCTATGCATACTTTGTTGTTTATTTAAAGGGAAATTCCACTGATTTCTTTCAAATTTTCTGCATAATTAAATAATTAAGTTGTAAACAAAGTTGTTCAGAGTGGTTTGATGTAAAATACTCCACTCTAGAGAAACTTACTGAGTGATAATTGTTCACAGCGGTGGTGATAGGAACCAGACATTTGAAGAGTTTAATGTCTCTAAAAGCTCCCTCACAGGAAGTTATTACTCAGAATGGTTATGAATATGTTGCCTGATGTCCGAGACATTGTTTTACAATATTTTTAAAAGGAGATTTTGGCCTAAAATATATATTTTAATATATTTTATTTATACATATCTAAAAATTGTTTTTTTGTTACTATTTCACCCTTATCGGCATTATGTACATACAAATCTCAAGACACTTGTAGGTTGACTGGTTATTTTAGATAGTAAATAAAATTATATTTGCATTGTAGACGTTGTGACCCCTGGTTCCTATCACCACCACTGTAAAGAAATCTGAGTAAGTTATTTTCTTTACAATGAACCATTTCACATCTAACAACTCCACATAGCTTTATATTTCAACGATCTATGCAGAAATTTTGAAAAATTGGTAGAATTTCCTTTTAATTTTTATTGCTTTGCCTTTTTAAAAACTCTTGCAACTTAATCATCAAAATACTTGAATATTACTATTATGGATTGTAACAGCCCTACTTTACGTACTTACGTATGTAACTATAATATTCTAACAGTATATGTTACAGCTGGCTGGAAATATTAAACTAGATGGTTGCTATTTTGGTACATTACTGTAAATCAGCAACTATCTCATCACTGAGACCAGTTAAGCAACAGGAAGTGTCAATGGTCATTTCCGCATTGCTGACCATACCACTAATTGAGCCCCTCTTAGTTTGCCAGATTGTAGTAGAAGTCCTGAAACATGCTGAATATCTCCTGTTTACTGTACACTGTAGTCCAGCAGGAATCCAGCTGCAGCATCGCTGGTCCAGGCAGCAGCTGACACTGTGCATAATTAATCCTAGCTCTGCTGGCTCATTTCACTTTCACTCAAAAGGCCATTGTGTTTGATTGTTGCCTGGAGTTAATGTTGACAGCGTGCCATGGCTCACCTTTTTGGGTGTTCTTTGTTTTATTAATTTATTACAGTGCTCTTAAACTCTTTGATTTGTGATCATTAGAACATATGAACTATTCGCTAACATTATGACTCTGCATCATATCTACAGCTTAACCTGTCTCACTGTGTGTCTGCTGGTCACAGTGACTCATCTGTTTAGATTTCTGAGAAATTTAGCCTTAGGAACGATTTGTGTAACTATGCAGTGGCGAGAAAAGTTCACAAATACTGCATTGAAGAAAAAAGAACTTAATGCAAAATCAATATTCAAAAAAATGCAGTTGAGAAAGTATTAAAGAGCCCATATTCAACTTTTTGTATTCTATTGTTAACCTTGAGGTCCACTGATGATTTGTGTGGGTAAATGTTTATAGTTTATTTTTACTTAATCAACCTGTATTTGTTACTGTACTTTTAAGATTGCATTGTATGCAAAAGTTTGAAAAGTCAAATTACAGGTTTTGTGGATTTTCTTTTAAGTAAAAAAATAATGTAACACATCCTCTACATGTAACAAACTTAAGTATAGCATTTATCTGCAAATTTTAGTGCACAATTTCTAATCATTATTATATACATTTCCCCCTAGTATGTTAAACTCAACAAATAAACAGTAACCATGCATTAAAATGTGCAGAAGTGAGTTCTCTGTAGAGAGAGCGGTTACTTATTTTCACAGAAAATCAACAAAACATGTCATTTGTTCAGAGACGCCCAGTTTTCTGTTTATGTATACACAACAGAGCTGATTGGCTGCCCTGTATTGTGCCTCATTCAGTAAGCGTTCCAGGCTGAAACACTGTATGAATGGGCGGCTGCTGTAGGCTGAATAGGCAGATGTGTGAGGTCACAAAAACTGAATTCAGAATGGGATATTTTTGCAGCATAGATTCTGTTTATAGATTTGGGAGTGAAATAGTGACTTTAGCAGAGTTTTCATACTGTGTTTTCATAGTGTTATCAAACTCTTTCAATAAAGTGAGGAACATTCAGTTTTCCATGATATGGGCCCTTTAATGTACTGGCATTAAAACCCGAATACAGTTTGGAAAAGTAAATCCTGTATTTATAAATCTGAACACATACATTTTAATTAGTGTTAATACCAAAACATATCTAGTGGTAGTGAAGGGGTGGGTAAGGCCATTGTGTACTGTGGGGTAACATCTCAATTCAAGATAAGTACCGCAATAATTATTATTATTTTTTTCTAAGGTTTGATCAGCTGGAACTATGAATACAAGGACATTTATTCAGTGTTTTACATACAGCTGCACTCCAGTTAACCAGGACTTACTATTCTGCCTCTATAGCAAAACATGCAGCTGGTCAGTGTTCTCAGAAAGGCACAATGTATGTAATTTATCACAATGATAAAAATCATCATATTGCTCAGACCCACCTTAGAGCCTCCATTTAGATGTCTCAAGCCAAATTTATTAATTGTTGGTAATTGTTGACTATGCATAGTAGAGATTTTGCACTGCTCTACTCTCATCCTTCAGCTCTGGAAAGGAATTAGTCCTTTGAGTCATATAGAGGTATTTGCCATTTGGCAGAAAGAATGTCAGCTGTTTTCCCTTGAGCCCCTCTTCTCCCTCCCACTAGAAAGTGCTTGTGGCTTTTTACGGTTTAATTTTGTCTCCCTCTTTCACTTATTTTTGCTTGTCATTCTCTATATTTGTCTCCTTATGGTTTCTCTGTGTCTTCTTAGTTTTCATTTGCAGGAGATAGAAATGTTTTTTTTTGCACCGTCATGCACCACCAGTAGGTGTTTGAGGTTATGTTTCATATGCAAGTTATCTAATGATTAAAAAATCTGATCAGTAAAACCAAGTTCCGTTCCACAGGGAAACTGTAATGTTCTTGAGCAATTTAGTCTAGAATATTTTCTCTCTCTCTCTCTCTCTCTCTCTCTCTCTCTCCTTCTGACATATGCATATTTACAGTAAATGGAATCATCTCTCTGTCTACGTGGCCGTGTCCTTGGCGTTTAAGCCAGCTGCAGTCTCCTCAGATCAGATGACGCTGTTTCTAATCAAAACCATAATTCCTTCCCTTGCTCTTTTTCTTTTTTTTTTCACTGCATGGCTTGCTGCCTTCACTCCTGCTGGCTTCCTGTCACTGAGAAACACAGGCTGCTTTGTTTTACAGTGCTCTGTAGGTTTTCTTTATTGTAATTTATTGTAATGCTCTGAAACTCTTGTGATTATGACTCATGGCGTAGTGAGAGCTACTTATTGTTATCGTGGCATTATGCATCCTATCTGCAGTCCACTCTGTCCCTCTGTGTCTGCACTGGATGCCATGACACATCTGTTCTGGTTTATTCTGTTCACAAAGCCAGCACAAACCACAAGGTCATATGGATCGAACTGCTCTGAGTGCTGTTTCAGGATCAGCTTTCACTTTAAGTGGCGCTGACTTAGTGTCACTACTGTAGTCTTGAGTTGTCTGATGCGGTCATGTCATTGATTAACCCTTTCTTTTCTGGCTTCCTGCAGGCTATGACTTTGCGGCTGTGCTAGAGTGGTTTGCTGAACGAGTGGACCGCATTATCCTGCTCTTCGATGCCCACAAGTTGGATATCTCAGACGAGTTCTCTGAGGTGATCAAGGCCTTGAAAAACCATGAGGACAAGATGCGTGTGGTACTGAACAAAGCGGACCAGATCAGCACACAGCAGCTGATGAGAGTGTACGGCGCCCTCATGTGGTCACTAGGGAAGATCATTAACACCCCAGAGGTGGTGCGGGTCTACATCGGCTCGTTCTGGGCGCAGCCTCTCCTGGTGCCAGACAACAGGAAGCTGTTTGAAGCCGAGGAGCAGGACCTCTTCCGAGACATTCAGAGTCTTCCACGGAACGCTGCCCTGAGAAAGCTGAACGATCTGATCAAGAGGGCACGCCTTGCCAAGGTAAAGGGAAAGAAGAATGGGGGATTTTGGCAGGAACTTTAGTTCCTGTTAATGTTTGTCTGCTCAGTGTGTAGTAAGCATGCTTGTTACTTACTGTTTTTTTAACTGAGATCTCAACAAGTGCCAACCTGATTGCTTAAGCATTCACCGTATGTGTCACACGGGATGGTGAAGCTTCATGATGTCATTCTGTGCCTTCAGTGTTGACACTGGAAGCAGGAAGTGGGTTGTCAGAGGTAATTTAACCAAGTCACTTAAGTTACCGACATTTCTCTCTTCAGGTTCATGCTTACATCATCACCTCACTGAAGAAGGAGATGCCCAGTGTGTTTGGGAAAGATAACAAGAAGAAAGAGCTCATTTCTAACCTGGGTGCCATCTATGAGAAGATAGAGAAGGAACACAACATCTCTCCAGGAGACTTCCCCAACCTCAAGAAGATGCAGGTAAGAATACTAAGGACTTCCCCAGAGCCTAAAAACTCACAGTATGGCAGGACTGCACTTTTTGAGCATGTAGTGATGTTGCTATAAAAGTTGGAAGTTTTACAATAACAAATTATTTTAACAGTGGGGAAAAAACAGAAGTAGTGTGTGAAAGGTTTGTACGTAAATGTTAATTTTGTGAAATGCACAGAGAATTAATTTCCTCTTGAATAATACAGATTCACACAAGAGGGCGCTATTAGCAACTGAGTAGTGCTTTTTTTTCTGCACCTTGAGGCGTGAGGAAACCCACACCAGCACGGGTAACAAAATAGTGTATTACATATAGGAAGCGTTATTTAAATATATGTGATTTTTGATTTAGTCAGTTTATTCTTAAGAAACAAAGCTAGTATATGGGCTAAAGATAATAAAGGCTCAGTAAAGGCTAAGCTCCTGATTCCAGAGACGTCTTTGGGAGGACTTGTTTCTCTCAATAGGCGAACTGTAAAATCTCATATCATTTCTGACTTTAAATATGACATTACAGCCCCAAACTAAACATCATCTGGGCATTTTTTACATCAGGAGGCCCTTTGTTTACAAATGTCTGGATTTGTTCTGTACCATTCAAAGTACCAGACGGACCCAAAAAAAAACAAACAAATTCCAGAACTTAACCTGTATCGCAGCTTGCGTGAATATACTACTTAAAATATTGTTTGATACTTCGCACACCATGTAGTTAAAATAATTGATAAAGAATTGCTTATAAATAACTGACTACAACTTCCGTGAGTACTTGGACTCGACAAAATGTTTGAATGTAGATGTATGTTTGCATACACACAAAGGTCTATTGCATACCTGAGACTGTGATCTTTTATATATTTCCATAGGATTAATTTCATCTAGCAAATGCGACAACAGGATGAGGAACAGCTGAATTGGAAATGTCTTCAGGAGACATACTCAGGGGTTTTCTAGGGTTAGGGTAAATGGCAAAGTTTATTGCTTGTAAAATTCTCCCAAGAAATATTTAGGCGAATATGCTCACGGCACTATTAGCCAGTGGTAGATAAGATCCACTGAATGACAAGCAAGAGACCTTATAGCCAGATTAGAGATTTTTTACATTCAATACGGCCCTGAGGGTTTCGTATTGGGATTGCTGAAAATCATTGCGTTACATCAGTGCTCATGTTAAAAGGTGCTGCCATGCTTTTGAGTATTGCGTTGTCTGAATGAGTCACTCCCAGTGATGAATGAACTTGTAGTGTCTGCCTGTCATGGAAACTGACGACATGCTCTGCTGAACATCACATCCTTCTCAAAATCATACTCCAACCCCACAACTTCTTTTTTGCACTCGTGTCTCAACATTTTATTTATGTTTTTAAGTCATCATTGTTTTCTCTTTCTTTTCTGTTGTCAGTACTGACACTGATAAGTAGAGCCATATTTTAATAACCCAGCCATTGTGGCGAGCTATGGAGAAATGCTCAGAGTTGTAGAAAGAAGTTGTCCCTTGCTGTCACGTTAGCCATCGTTAATGTTGTTACCACGAGTTGCCGAATTCTGACAAAATCTGATTTGATGAAATTAGTTCTGTGTCTGACCAAGCAGGGTGTGGATCTTGCATGGGAGGGTAAAAAGTAGTGGTTTTCTTGGTAATGATGGATATTTGTGAACGTGTGAAATATCAACTAAAATGTAAAATATTGTGTAAAATATAAGCTAAAATGTAAAATATTGTGGCCTGGAATGCCAGGCAATATGCACTGCCGACTGCAGCTAGTAGCTTCAAAAGATGACTTGTTGGTTTTGAGCTGTTTTATAATAGGTGATGTAGAAAATAGGCTGAAGATGTGTGTAAAATACCAAGAATGATGTTGCTAAAAGGCTATAGCATCTGGTCAAAGGCTACATTATTTAGTGCAGGTAGATTTTAGATTTATAGACATCATTTGACAATGTAACAATTTATAATAATAATTGCTAATGTGTTTTGGCTAAAATTAACGGAGGCTCCTCTTCAGATGAGCTAGTGAGCTAACGCTACAACTAACTGGTAAAATGTTGGATGTTGTTAAGGACTCATCATCTACATGAGGTCCTTTCTCTTCAGTGGATGGGGTGCCATCACATTAGGATGTCAGAAATATGTTTTCATTGTTTCTGAATCTTGCTAAGATCTGCTAGAGTCATTTATTTAGCCTAGTTAGCAACAACGCTGCCCTGCCTTCTCAATCACGTCCTTAACAATCAGTCTTTGGCACCTCATTAAGGCACGCTGTGTTTTGTAGTATTATGTGATATATACGTGAAGTACAATGTAATGTTCATGCTTACGAATATGAGCAAAACAGACACATTTTACAGCCCTGTTAAAATGAAATTAACTCATTGTTGGCCAGTAGATATTTTTCTGTCTTCCCATGATAAACATAACGAATACCCGAATATTGATTTCAGTTTTAAAATATTGGCATTTCAAGATGGCAGTCAAGTGATATGAGCACATTGACCTTATATTACATTACTTAGTTAACCATTTTCTGGTTTTTGCCTCTACAGGAACTCCTGGCTGGCCAAGACTTTAGCAAGTTCCCTGCCTTGAAGACCAAATTGCTAGAGTCCGTTGAGGACATGCTGGCCAACGATATCGCCAGGCTCATGACCCTTGTGCGCCAGGAGGAGGCATCCATGCCCAACCAAGTGGTGAAAGGTGGTGCCTTCGATGGCACAATGAATGGGCCATTTGGCCACGGTTATGGTGAGGGTGCTGGAGAGGGCATCGATGAGCTGGAGTGGGTGGTGGGCCGTGACAAGCCATCCTATGATGAGATCTTCTACACACTGTCCCCTGTTAATGGCAAGGTGTCTGGCGCTGCCGCCAAGAAGGAGATGCTGAAGTCCAAGCTGCCCAACACGGTGCTCGGCAAGATCTGGACCCTGGCCGACGTGGACAAGGACGGTTACCTGGACGATGAGGAGTTCGCTCTGGCCAACCATCTGATCAAAGTGAAGCTTGAGGGGTACGAGCTTCCTGCTAAGCTGCCCACTCACCTTGTGCCACCTTCCAAGCGTGGTCAGGAGCAACAGTGAGTTGCTGTGCTGCTCTTTCAACTTTACAGCTGTGGCTCTCACCTTCTCAGGCTTCAACTCCACCAGCCATTCCACTTATTTGTTCCAAAAGCAGTCTCGCCAACCCTCCTCATTTCAGCATGCCTTTTTCATTGTTAAAGGTACAATTAAGGGTTTTGTGTGGCTGTTCCAGTTGCTGTACGTATGACTTACATGTTTCTTGTATGTAGTGACAGTTTTCCTTTTTTCAAATAGGTTTTATGGCCAAAATTCATTGAGAGCTGTTCTTTTTATTATTTTTGCATCCCAAGGTATCTTATTTTGATGGCACATTGCATATGGTAGTACCTTGATCGGGTTCCGAAGACGGAATATGTGAAAATGAATATTTGGAATGGCTTTGGAGATCCAGTGACTGTACTGAGAACCTGAGCTCTGAGAAGTGATACCAAAAAGATCTTATGTGCCAGTGAGAGACTTGTGGGTTTGTATTTGAATGGAAAGAGATACCACTTTCAACAGAGAGTTGTCCACAAAAAGACTGCAAAAGGACTCAAGGTAGAGAGGATGACCGTTTTGATTGAGTATTGGAGAAATGTTTGCTGTGTGTTAGGGGGGGTGACCTTTGGAAAAACAAAAATGTGAAATAACCTCTCCATCCACTTTAAAGACTTACCTTGTTCTTCCACTTGCTAGCCACTTTCAGCTCTTGTACCTTATAGGTCCACTACCAACTGTAGCATATCTGTTCTCCTGCACAGTAGGTCAACTACTCTCTACTTTGTTCATCATTGGTTCACTTCTGACCACAAGACTATGTATTACATGTTCTTTCTCTGTGTGCGGAAACTGGTCATTGTTGAAGAGCTAGATAATGCACAGATTGTGCATCAACAGATGGGCTACAATCCCTAACTGTCCCTGGACCTATAAGGAAAGTGTTTCTAATAATGTGGCCGGTGAGTGCATTTGTATATGATATTCCATAATATAATCTTTTCTTTTGCAAAACTTAATTTATTCTTCTTAAAAATCTGTATTTTTATATCTTAGAAATTTGACAGCTATGAAATTTTCTCTTGATTTCTGTACCTAGCTATGGTGACAGTCATGCCAGATTTCAGTCTTTTCAGAGGTGTTGGGATTTCATATACTTTAGCTCTTCTTACAATGAATTCTCATATTACTCTGATGGAAAAAATAAAAAATTCTTAATTAATAAACTATATTATATTGCTTCTGTGGGTTGTTTTTATTTGCCTGATTGAGGTAAATGAAATGTGGAACAACAACTTTCTGTAGTATTCATGTCACTTATACTAAAAAGCACAATTAGGGGGAATACACACACAACATTCCTAAACCTGTATTTACTAGAGGTGCCCAGACCTGCATGCAAATGTCGCTAGCGAGTAATATCTAGCCAGGCTTGTGTTTTAATATTTGCATCCAAATCACAATCATAATTGTCAGTTAACTTCATGATCATGATAGGCCTGTTCATTAGTGCTGATTTGATTCTGTTAGTATTTAAAGGTTCCTGTGGGGGAACAGGGTTTTTCTCTCTCTCTCTCTCTCTCTCTCTCTCTCTCTCTCTCTCTCTCTCTCTCTCTCTCTCTCTCTCTCTCTCTCTCTCTCTCTCTCTCTCTCTCTCTCTCTCTCTCTCTCTCTCTCTCATGTTGAGGCATGTTGTTTAATACTCCTCTGCTGTGGTCATAAATTCACCTCCAGCACTCAGAGTGTTTGCTGTCTTTGGCAGCAGCTCTGATTGTCATTCTGAGACAGTAGCTTTCCCAGACTGGCTGTGTTGCTTTTTGTCTCTGTTACAGTGAAAGAAGACTCCTGCTGAAATGCAATATACCATTATGTTAGAGTTCCTCTGTTTTTTTTTTTGGTTTTTTTTTTCCCTTTCATTTTCTTTCTGAGTGCTTTTTACAAGCTGTCATGTGACTTTTCTTCCCTGTTTCCTTCTCACATGACCATCTGTAGGTTTTGTCACACCAGATACCTGCTGGTCACATGTTCTGGTTATCAGATGACAAGTTCTATTGAATATAGCTGATAGATATTTATATATTTATCTTTATCATATTATCTATCTAATATGATCAAGAACACATCAAGAACAAAACTCTGCAGATGAATGAGTTTTGGCATTTCTTACTGAATTGTAATTACATTAATTCCCTGCTTCTTTCCAAATGAGTGCTCTGTTTCTGGCTTAATCAACACCAAATTTGGCCTCGAAGTATTTCAAGTCATGGTAAAGTGTGTTACTCAAATTCAGGCCTGAAGGGTCAAAGCACTGCGTAATTAAACCTTTTCTCTTCTCTAACACAGCTGATTCAGCTCATTAGCTAATTATCTTTGCCCTTTGAGAACTAAAAGCAGCACACTAGAATGTGCAGTTCTTTAGCCTCCAGCACCACATTTTAGAGGAAGAGAATCCCAGACTGCTTACCCAATCAGATCGAAATTTTGCATACAATATCTTTATGGAAATTCCCAACTGTATATGCAAGCATGAGCTGATATTGTTTAAAGGAATTCCATTAGCCCCACAGCAATAGTTAATAGGTGCAGATATTTCTGAAGAACTGAATGGAAGGCTTTGTGGAAAAGGTGTTTAGGTAGATAAACTCTGATCTAAGGATGGTCAATTTGATTTGCATTATTGTGATAAATTGCGCTTTTCTGAGCATATTGTGGATATCAGCAGTTTGGACCGAACAGTTAATTGTTTTATATTATGATCACAATTTGAAAGACTGCAAAACTTTCACAAAATGTGCGATTTTAATTATACTTTACATTATTCAATGTTGTCTTAAGTTTTAAATGGGGAAAATGAACCTAATAACACAGAGCTACAGGCAGTTTAGCACACTACTTTCAGTTTTCAAGCCTGAAAAAAATGAATGTGCTGGTCTCCTTGAAGAAGAATGGGCCTGGAGCTCGATTTACAGAAAATAATGACATTTATATCGCAATCACAATATTGGCCAATAAAAATCGCAAAGATAGATATTTTCTCCAAATTGTTCAGCCTGATAGGCTGTAATTAAAGAACATTAAATGCCTTCATGTTTCATAAGAAAGAGCCTTACATGGTGCTCTGAAATCAAAAAGCTGTTTCACCCAGCTGACAGGTGATGTAGTAGAGTACATGAATCACTGAACAAAAAAAAGATTGTATATTTCTAACTTTTGATAGCTTTTTTTGTTTTAATAAACCATTATTGTTTTGTATATTGCAACTTAACAAACCTCATAAAAACAAAATTTTTTTTGGCTAACTCTTTTTTTAAATGTTTAGGCCAAAACAACTTAAAAAAAAAAAAATAAATATATATATATATATATATATATATATATATGTCATCGTGATCCACAGAGCTAGATCAATTTCTCTGTCTTGGATCCCCCTTAACTTTACACAGAGGTCAGGTTTATTTGGGATCCGGAAGATGAATAATATTACAGAAGTGGAGAGTCTGCGTTAAAGTTTCACAGTGTAAAGCCAGTCTTGGAGTAACTTTTAGGATCTGTTCACTCGTCCATCTTTGCAACTCCGCCGGGCTGTAATATCCAGTAATACAAGACCAGGCTTCTGTACTTTTGAATGGGGAGAGACCGAAATATTGAAATCTGAAGGTCAATTTACCGTTTAAAAAGCACATTTGAAATCACCAGTAAAATCTAACCAAAACCTCATGAATAGTTTGTGGTGTTTGACGATATAACGCGCAAAAAAACAGCTTTTGGGTTTCTCCACGACGAGTGGGGGCTTAGATTGGCTCCCATTCATATTTTAACCAGTGTCCAGTCTCCTCTTTTATAGCGTCTCTGCTTTTAGTAGGAGTGCATAATAAGCAGCCTAACTAGTTTACGGCAGACTGTAAACTCAGTCCTTTCTGCACTTGCAGCACTTTTGTTGACAGTGATGCATCTTTGTCCCTCATAATCACTTTAACAACACGTTCTGTGAATTAAGGCCTTCACTGACCCTGCATTTAGAACATTCTCATGACCGTCATTAGATTCTAAGATTCTGACTCTAGAGCACTCGGGGCAGCAGGGTGCTAGAATTCTCAGAGAGGTGCTAAGTAAGAAAGTGAATGTAAGAATGCACATTGCAGCTTTAAGAAAGCGCATCTAAACTGGCCTCTCCTTACTGACTAACATCACACCTGAGCTCAAAGGCTCTCTCAGCCAACTGGCACATTGACCTCTGGCCCTTATATAAGACGCTGTGATTATATAAGGCGTGTGGAGGAGGGCGATAGAACTGTCAGTGAGGTGTAATGCTGAGGAGTCTATTGGCTGGCGGAGAAGCACTTCCAGCCCTGGGCCTTTCCATGTTGGCCATTGTCCAACTCAGAACTCATCAGAATGGCTTTTGAAAAGGCTTGAATTTAGATGTTTTAGAACTATAAGTTCAGATTTCAATTCAATATTCAATTCAATTCAGAATTTCTCATATAGTGCTTTTATACTTGATGTCATAAGTAATTAATGTCATTATATTACTTTTATGTAATTGTTTTTTGTAAAGTGCGTTGGTTTGAGTGCCATTGAGAATTGAGCTAAATCAAATCAAAAATGCTATACAGACCATGCAGACGCTGAGTTAAAAGGGCATAACAGGTTTATTTTTAGCTTTCCCAATAACAGTTGAGGTAGAGTACATGACTGTGTTGTTCACTGTAAACATTTGGTGGTATTTGTACTCAAAATGGCTCAGTCTCTTCAGCTCTTTTCCAACAGGACTGTTTCCAGGAGACAAGCAAATTGACACAACAAAGAAAACAAAGAAGGAAAATGTTTGTCACCCCGACATGGACCCTCTTCCTCTCTCCCTCTTCCTGTGACAGCTAGCTGAAGGATATGGAATCCCAGGACATGTCCTTTGTTCCACGGCAGTCCCACAAACTCAGAACGTCACGACCAGACGCCTGTGTCTCGAAGATAAGTGCTCGAGTGACATGATTCTTAAGCTGTGTTGCAACTCGCGTTAACTTGTGACAGGGCACATACAGTATTGTTTCTTCTCCTCCTTACGAAAATTAGAAAGAACTGAAACAGAGTAGAGATCAGAAAATGGAATGTTCTTGGCCAGATCTGCATGATGTGATGACGTTCAGCAGGACCGGGGAGAGATGAAAGTAGTAGAGCTTCGGTCAGTCAGTACTGTAGAATGGAGATAATGGAGATAATGGAGTGGTCCCTAAAGAGGCCCTGATGTCTTTTCTCAGCCAAACATATCTTGCGAGGCGTAGGTCATGTAGAGGAAGCCGTCGGGATCTCTGTGCTGTGAATATATCTGCGCCATGCTGGCCGTCATACAGCACATGCTCTTTCCTGAGATCAGAAGGTACAAAGTCTGGGAGGCCTCCAGCGCTATCTTACTCCTGAGAGAGAGACAGAGAGAGAATCATATCAGCGGAAAAATGCATTCAGCGTCCAAAATTGGAGAACAAAAAATATTTAAAAAAAATAAAGAAAATATGTCACCATCAGATAAACAGCAGTTAAAGCTTTCATCTTTGAGAGAGAGGAGAAAATCAAGCTCCACTGTTGCTTAAGATCTGAAAAAAATCTACAGAAGTTTCTACAGATCTTTTCACTGTGAGAAGACAGCTCAATGCTATGGGTCTGAAAGGAGCTTTCAAGAAGCCAATGCTGAGAAAAGGAAATAGACAAAAAAGAAAGCAAAATCGCAATTCAAATAAAGAAGCTGCTGGTGTTCTCAGAACAATGGAGAAGCCCAAGAAGGAGGAAGTGCAACCAACTTCTAAGACTGAACTTCGGTGGTCAAGAGATTTCTGAAAGCAAGTCTCCAGGAAAGAGTTTTCTGTAAATATGTTTTCTTCTTTTTTTCCTGATGGTGAAAAATGAAAACTTCTACTTAATGGTCATTTTGACAGAACACTAAATAAATGAAGGGTGGACTTTTGCACAGTACTGTGTAACCGGTAAGTGATATAAAAAACAGGGAAGTGGTGGGTCACTAGCAGACCAAACAGTGCCAGTCAGTGGACACAGTGCTGTTGTGTAACCATAAACACATCACCAGCTAGAAATATGTAGCTCAAATGGTTTCATACAGAATATAAAATACACTCTTAAAAATAAAGGTGCCAGAACACATTTGGCTACCTTAAAAAAAACCTTCCGTGGATAATTCTTTAGAAAACCATTTGTGTGAATGAGATGTGTGAGTGTGAAGAACCTTTAAAAGTTTAGAGACCTCCATGTGATGTAAAGGGAAAAACCTTAAACTGGTAAAGAACCTTTACATTTAAAGGCTCTTTAAACCTTTTAAAGGTTCTCCAAATTCACAGATCTCTTTTCCAAACATGGGGATTCATTCAACAATTACACAGTTTTCACAAAGATTCTGACATTCACCAATGTCTTTTGATTTGGGATTTGTTCTTAGATAAGAACAGAATCTACACACACTGAAGACCACAGAGGTGCGAACAGTTATGCGGTTTAAGGACACACCATGAATCTGATGTAGACTTTTTCTTAGGACCTTTCTCAAGAACAAATTCAGGAAAAACCCTAAGAAGATATTGGTGAATGAGGCCCAGTGTTCTTTATTGAACCAAAAGTGTTCTTTTCCATGGTGTTTGTAGCACTTTTGTTTTGTAAAGAATGTAGATGTACAAAGTGCTCTAATATCAGCAATTCATACTTTAGGATGCACTGCTTTGGAAATCACTGGACACGACTCACCTGAGCAGACACAGAAACTGCCCCATTGTGAGTTCATGAGGGACCAAGAACTTTGTTTTGTCCAGCAGAGGAAGCTGTTTCTCCCGAATGTATCGCTCAACAATGACCTGGGGTTTAGAGCTCAGAGGTTAGTCATAGTTGATTGCATAGTTGTTGTACTAAAATTTCAAAGGCCTGAAATATGGAACCAAGATAGAGAAAGAACATACCGGCAACTTATTGGGAAATTTGGACCGAATTGTGCAGACTTCATCTTTTCTTGTGGCTGCATTCAAAAAACAGAAATAGTTGAGCATTATTAAACAGGTGGATTGAGGAGATTTAATTAAATACACATGCAAAGTTAAGAAAAACCTATTTGAATCAACATAATGTGGGAAAAACATGTAATAGGCCTTGAAGAAGTCATTCTTTAATCCATTCATCTAATTCTGTACTACAATTCACTTAAAACATTAATAAGACAATATTTACAGTATTTCATTTTCTTCATTTAGAAAGAATACACTAGTAAACATAAGCAAAACATGTACCAAAATAGTGTCACCTGTTATCTGACTGCCTATAATACCTGTATTCTTTCATAGTGAGACTGGATTATCTTCAAGTGATTTTTAAAGAGATTCTTCTTCTTAAGCTGCAGCTTACCCAGGCACTTCCTTTGCTTGAAAGGCATCATTTCCATGGACCTCTCGAAGGGCGGCATGTCTGCGTGTGGTGGTGGTGTGGCGGAGGCTGCTGCTGAGTTCCCTCGGGAAGAAGTGCACTCAAACCCCGCCTAGCAGCCGGGCAGGCTTGGTTTTATAAGGGGACGAGGACTGAAGGTGTGAAAAGAGGGAGGAGGAATGAAGGCCCTAACAAGTGTAAATATGTGCTTACATGTAAAATAGTTCACAGCTCTGTGCCGCTGGGCTACACTGGTCTCAGACCAGCTTCTGTTAACCCTCCTCTGCCCTTCCATTAGTAACTACAACAAAATAGTGATTAAATTCCAGTGCTGAAATAACACCTATAGTGTTGAATGAATGCTTAAAGAGTTAAATTAACACCTAAAGTGATTCATTAACACCCGTAATGTTCATTTAAATCTAGCTAGACACAAATGAACACTGTAAATTAATTAAACACTGGGGACTGTTCTTCACAGCTTTGTTGTACTGCCAGAAGATGAGATTCACACCCACCACTGAGGCCAAACCTTTTTCAGAAGTGGGTGCCAGAGTACATGGAGTAGTCCACATGAACTTTTCATTGGGCAACAACATATTGCATTTAAATAATAAACTAAACTTGGTCTCATGATCCAGAAGCCTTTGGGTGATGCCCCTAGAAGCTTAAATAAATGAGAAGCCAAAAGACTGTCATTTTATTTGCCAAGCAGGCTATCCTACTTTAGCAGCATAACATAGATATATCTACTGCTATTGTGTTATAGAACAACAGTGTTTAATTTGTTTTGGTCAGTGAATATTAGTAAAGTGTTATATTGTTTATATATTATGGGTAAGTTTTTCATTTTCTTTTACATTTTATATCAAATACAAATTACTGGAGACCTAGTAAAGGAGGTGACAGACAGACAAAGTAAATGTTTCCTTGTTTATAATTTTTTTGTTTTTTTTTTATTAGAGTTTGATGTAATACATTAAAAGTGTTAAAAGTTTTGGAGAATACCATTCACTTCTATAAAGTCCATATATGAAAACTAAGCTGCAAAAAACAGCCCACTTTGAATTTTATATTTTTTTGATATCACAAAAACCAACTCACTTACACCCACCTGATCATCCCACAGCAGTTCAGCTCAGCCCAGTCAGGCTGAAGTTATGAGGAGTGTTTGTTTTAGCCTGCACTGCTTTTTGAATGAGCCACAATGAGAGACAGCCAACAGATGTCAGATGTACTAGACCAGCATAAACCTGCATAAACCAGCATAGACCAGCACAGACCAGCATGAAATGCTTGCTGCTCTGTGCTGTTTTTTTAGTAGGTCCACATAACATAACATAATATTTTTCAATACAAATTAGAACCGGTATTTCTGAACTCTGTGGTGATTTTGTACATAAATTCCACTCTATGTTAAAAGATGTCTACTAAATGTCTGTAAAAGAGGTCTATAGACATGACATAGTCTGCAGCTGCTCATATGGGCCTTCAGATAACCCTTGAGCAGGTCCACTGTGGTGAGAAAGTCAGAACTTGCACAGTTATATTGTCTTGGAGGTTCACCATTGAACAGCACAGTGCACAGAGCTAAAATACACAAGCTTAGTCTGAAATATCTAAACATAATAAATGACTTCATCAGTCCAGGGCAGAGATACAAATAAGATCACAAGATTAGATGGTATTTGGGACGGTGTTTCCCAGTCAGTCTCTCTGCATTGCATGTTTTAGTACCTCCCGGCCTGCTTCAATCAAATCACGTGTTAGAGCAGAGAAAATAGGAAATATTGAAATGCACAGCACAGGGATACTGTAGGAACAGAAATTAGGATTTTTTTTTTCTTTTGGGTATTTACACAAAGTATACAGCCAATAGAAACTAAAGCGTACAAGGATTTGAGAATGGCCTTCTGGGAAGGATAGCATTAGAAGAAGTAAGAGAAAGAGCAGGGAAAAAGGTTAACTAAAAAAAGCTAAAAAAAAAAAAATTCCTCTGCATTTTTACACATATTTTAAAGAACTAAGGAAAATAATGGTTTCATTATGAAAGGCTGTTAAAAGAGATACTGTCCTTAGCAACACAAAAATCGATTTCTGTGTTAATTGTGCTGATATCAAATATAATAGAAAAAAGGGAACTCTGAATTTCCTTTACAAATAAGCAGATATAAAACAAATGGCCTGTTGCCACATCATTGTCATGACAGAAAACACTGCTTTTGTCTTGTATCTCAATCTTTGGGTGGATATATACCACTATAAATCTTGAGAATAGTTTTTTTTCTTTCACTCTCATGGAAACGGGGAATGAAAGACATATGAGTTCTTGAAATGGTTTGTTTTTCTGGAAACAAATGGAGAATATTGTTCATGGGATAAAATATTGTAAAAAAATATTGTGAATCTTTGCATTTGTTAGCTTGTTATTGTTCAAATTCAAAGTCAAAGACTGTACTGAAGGTTTTACGTTTAAATTATACTGAATTGTTTTTTAACCAGGCTATAAGGGTGATCTGAATGGCTTTGGTAACGTGATAAATGCTTTTTTTCTGTACTTGAGATTATATAAATTGCAGAACCCCTCATAATAACTTCATAACTTAATAATTATTAGCCTTTTTTTTTGTATTTTTTTCATGCTTTATTAAAAAAAGGGTAATATGTTCAAACAAAGGGAGTGACAGTTCAAGAACAACTGAAGGCCCAGGAGTTTGTACACCAGAAAAGTGTTTCTGAGTAACGCTGGTCACAAATTACTTTCCATCCAAGAAGATTTGAGAAATCATACCAGAAAACTGTGCAATAGATACATTCCCAAAAGAGATGATCATTGTTTTCCAATTAATAGCTTAATAACTCACTCTCATCATTCAGCCATTGCATCACTGACAAAACATGAGGAACCGCTGCTCTAAAACTGTTCTGCACGTAGCAAACGCTGTACAGTTGCCATGACATCATCTCGTGGCCGGACAGCGCCACCTGCCGTCTGAACACAGTCAGTGCAGGTTCCCTCCACGCCTGTGGAATGCACGTGTCGCATAGCAGCCGGCACAAATGCAGCAGGCTATTGTTGCCAGGCACTCAAACTTAACGGGGAGTCTTTGGACGTTGATCGCTTTCTTTGTGGACAAGACTGAGTAATGCAGCTCAAGAACAGCATATTAAGAATAAAAAACGGGCTGTAGGCTATAAATGTTCACATGTAACGCGCTGTCTTCACTCAGCGTCTGCTCTATTCGAAAACTTCTCCAGCCAATCAGCTCCGAGCCCTCTGCTCCGTGGCTCCGCCTTCAAAACTCCCTCTCTCCACCTCTCACCGTTTGCAGTGTGCAGTGGGCTTTTTTCGCATAACTGAATCGGCATCATGAACGGGAATGTGATCGCTGACGAGGACGGTGAGGCGGATAATGAATGAGGGCGACCGTTCAGCCTCCCCTCTGCGAATTTCTGGGACTAAGCTAAGATTCACGGACGCTCTCGTGTATCCTTTCTTTCTTACGTGACTGCGTGAACGCGAAAGTTGGGGCTCGAGTTAACGTTATCTGGAGAGCGTCTTAGCCTGTGCGTTTTGTCCAGAGCTCGGGAGAAAAAAAGCGTCACGGACTCTGCATTTTAATCAGCGGTACACAAATAGCCCACAATGTGTATTCCGACACGGCGGCGTTGATGCGGCATTGACAGACAGGCGGTGCAGCGGCTCCGCGCACAGGCGAACCCGCAGGTTTCCCGTTTCACCCAGCGGCGGCGGCTGTGCCAGCTTGGAAGCCGATTTTGGGTGCACGATGACGGGGCGCAGGAGCTGCGTGAACTCGCTGTGGTCGGGGAGCGAGCGGGTTCGCATCGGAGAGCGGCTGAAAGCCACCCTGGCTGGGATCATGGAACTGGACCTGCTCAGAGGGCGACAGCTGGAGCTGGTGGATGCGGTTATGGAGGAGAGCGGGAAAACCGCGGAGAGCGTCGCTGCTCAGCAGGGGGCAAACCTCGAGAGCGCTGCCGCGGATGGCGCCGCCAAAGCCCGCAGGCAACAGGTCAGCGGGGACGGGGGGGTAGAGGTTACTAAAGGGGGACCACGGTGTTCTGTCCTAATTATAGCTTAAACATCGGGACATTGCTGAAGATACATATTACGCCTGTATTGTACGATTTGACAACACCTCTTGGTGACAGTGACGTCAACCGGTGGATAACACTGTGCCGTGACCTAACCAGGGCACCACTATTTACATTGAAAGGGTGTAAGTTACGCACCTGGTCGGCGCCCAAACACACATCCTCTATCCAGCGTGTCAAGGTTGAATGAGGGTATTCTGAGCCGCTGACCGCGATGCATGTTAATTTTCCCACGCTGGATTAAACCCACAAGGTTTAGGTGGAAAGCACATTTTTCATTTAGTTACGTTTTCTGTTGGTGTTTGTTTTCTGTTGCTATTGAGGGTAGAATATTGCCGAAAGCTTTAAGGGCCCATGGAGATTTCATTTATCCTTTATTTTTCCCCTAGGTCCACTTATGATGTTGGTGGGGTTAATGTACTAAAACCAGTCATAATTTATCTTTACAGGACAATTTCCACCCCCTCTTTATCCCTTCATATAACAGACTGTTGTTGTGCCTTTAAGACTAACATATGTCTGTTCTGATTGGCTGTGTCACAATTATAAAGTACATCAAGCTAACTCAATGACTGCAGTGTGAATGGATGGGATGACTAACCCGCTTTAGGCTGAATTTTGTGACATCACAAAAACAGTGAAATCAAATCAGGCTGTTTCTGCAGCTTCAGTTTCATGTATGGATTGTATATACTAGGCAGTGAATGGTTTTAAAATCTAAAAAGTGTTTATATTCTATATTAGACTACTTTTGCTTCTAAAAAGCCAGGAGAATTCAGTTTTTTCGAGTTATGGGCCCTTTAAAATATACACAGCGGATGTGGAAAGGTGAGCTCCTGTCTAGGTATGAAGGGCTTCTTTCACTGGAGGCGTAGGCCTGTTCCAAGTAGCGAACATGTATATGTGTAAGAAGAGAAGATGAGGCGGAAGTGCTTGTTTGAATTGACAATAGGGTCGAGGATGGATTGTGGGATTGTGACCATGTAAT